CAGGAAACACCCAAAAGCAAACTCAAAAAATTTAAGGAACTCAGTGCAAGGAAACTAAAAAGGTAAACAAAGAATTATGAATAGAAGTTCTCTCTGATATTCCAAGCTTTCTTGGTGCTAATTTGATGAATATGTTAACTTTGTGACAATCTGTTGAATAAAATATGTGTCCAACAACAACCAAAAGTCTTGTTCTGATGTGTTCTTTAATAACATATATATAAGAGAAGTTGATGTACTAGTACTTGGTTTTTATTTGGTGTTTGAGTTGACCATATGATCAGATTCTGAAGCTGTAATGTCAGAATGTTTTTCTTTTGCATAAAGATGTGTCATGTGTGCTAACCGAGGAATGAAAGTTTTTACAAACATTGATGTAAAACCTGTTTTTGTTTCTCTCTCTGTTTCTTTCTCTCTCTCTCTCTCTTTCTTTCTATCTACACAGGAGATCTGTGGCACTCAATCTAGATGGAGAGCCATTCAGTACAAAGTCTCCTAAAGCAAGCAAGGTAAGACTTTACTTTTCCTCTGCCTTATGTGTCTAAGCATGACTTTGATTAAATGAATACCACAACTCCTTTAAACAATGAAATACCTTCATGAAAATATAACAGTAAATGTATATAAATGGTTTCATGTTGGTTTCATTAGATTTGTATGAAGGGACTTCTAGTTTGTTTACTTTTCAAAACTACATTTTGTGACTAACTTTGTGTACATTTTGTGTACAAAACACTTCCCTGTAGTATTACTGAGACATGTGTGTGGTGAATTACTTTCAGACACAAGAAAACAACAAAAAGGAAACCAAAGATGTTGGTTGGAGACTAGCTAACGCTTCACCACCAGATGGAGGCCTGGACACCATGAAGCTCTTTGAACCTCAAGTCCGACCAAGTCCAAGCTTTGACAGTCCCGGCCGGGCTCGTAGACACATCAAGACTCCTAGCTCTCCAGCCAGACTCCTGACTGGGGCTTCCCCGGCCCTTCGCCGATCTACAAGGCTCCACACGTCAGATAGTGAAAATGATACTTGTGGTTCCATAAAACCTATAAGATTCTCAGCCGGGGATTCCCCTAGAGTAGTAATTGTAGATACCCAAGCTAAGGCAGTAGCATCACCAAAGGTTGTGGTGGTTGACATAACTATGGTAAGTGAATCAAACCTTGCTACAGAGTATGTAAAGAAACAACAGGTGCATGCCTCCCAGTTGATTGGTAGTAAGTTGGGGAAGGAGCGAACAAGTCCATCCATCCATATTCCTGACAGCACTAGGCAGAAGATCAAAGCAGCTGAGATAGTTTATGCTACCAGAAGCTCAATAGAAGACAAACATCTCCAGAAGATCGTAGACCGGAGTGTAAAGCAAAGTTCCTCTGAAGATCATGTCCCTGCTAAGGAAATTACACCATCTATGAGTGAGATGAGTCTATCTAGTGTGCTCTCTGGAATCAGTGTCGGTAGCCTCAAATCAGAGTTCAGTCAGTTTGGGTCAGAGGCATCCGAAAAACCACATACAACCACTTACATGGAAACAGACATCTGTTCTCCATGTGTGTTTGAATGCAAAGATGATACCATGGTGGCCATTGAAGATCCCTCAAAAGACTGTTCTGATGGTATGACTCCAATGGAAACAGAAAACCCTCGAGATACAACGGTTGTTGCAGGAAATGCACCTGTAGAAGAAACCCATTTTGATGGTAGTCAGACAACACATCCTGGGAAAAATCAACCAGAAATAACGGACATCCGAATCTCAAAGGAAACCTTAAGCAATGAGGGACACCCTTATGTTATGTATAGACCAGCCACTGGAAAGGGTACTATGTCTAAATCAGAATCAATTGATAGTGGAAAGGGTTGTTCAATGGAAGACCTCCATGCTGCCGCTACAGATGGGAAGCCAGAAAGACATCCACCTAAGGTTCCAAGCAAGCAAGACAGCTGTGATGCCGATGTAGAGGATGAAGGTAGTGAAGAGGAAGAAGAGATGAAGAAAGAAATAGATATCAAGCATACCAAAGAATCACACATAGTACTAAAGGAGATGCAGGATCCAAGTGATACTGGTGACCAACAGGGAACTATGAACAGAGTGGCTATTGAGAACAAATTTGAAGGAAACAAAGGAGAAGCTGATGAATTAAAAACTGACAACAGTAATGAAAGATATGATGCAAGTGATAAGGCTAAGGTTTTAAGCTCTGCAGATGGCAAGGTTAGCAAAGATGACATATTCAAGGTGCCACATAGTGTTGATAATACTGTGAGTGAAAGTGATAAGCAGAACTTGATAAATGCTGCCCTCAAATCAGATATGAAGAAATCCAGAGGGAGTCATTCCAAGACCCTGCCCATAAAGGGTGATCAGAAAGGGAGAAAGAACAAGAACTCGAGCATCGTCAAATCTAACATTCAACTCTTTAACTCATTTTCTACAAGTGACCAAGCCTTCAATGTTAGTGCTCTGGGTGGTGTGAGAAAGACAAGAGCATCAAGTCAGAAGGAAACGCAATCAGTCACCAAACCTATGACACCGTTGACTAAATCAACTAGTATGGACAGTGGTATCTCTAATCTTCAGGCTGCCGGGCATGCAATGTCAACAAGAAGCAAAGACATGAATGACTCATTCTTGACAGCTGTTGGGAGTAAAGCAACTCTGAAGGTTCTCAGTTCTTCTATGGAGAACATCTCAACCCCAAAAGAAGAACATACTGCTCCAACATCCAATCAAAGCCGCCCTATTCAAAGTTCACAGTCCATGCTTGACATCAGTACCCCAGTAACCTCTGTCAACAAGCCACCTATGATACGTCATATGAGGAATGTCAGATCTATGCAGAATGTTTCCACACCCAACAACAAAGAGAACCCCTCAACTCCACCATCCATCAGAAGAAGGCGTCCCGTCTCCCAGGGCCAAAAGACTGCTTTCCAAGAGAGTGATTCATTTTCCAAACTCAAGAGAGAGAAAGCTTTCGAGGTGGAAGATGAAGCGTCCAGCGTACCTCTTGTCAAACCGCTCAGAGATAATAACTCACCACATCTGCCCAGGACCAGGAAACCAGCTCCTTTGGATCCAAGACTAGCAACACCCCTCACACCTGTCCAGCGTGCGAGACTTTGTACCCCTGGTAGTAGGAAACCAGTCGCCATCAGACACAGATCACCTGTCAAACCGGTCAAGAGACTAGTCAAGTCTCCTTCTCCTGCCAGATCCAAGGGTAGACTTACTCCAGACAGGGATAACAGGACCCCTAAGAGATACCCTAGATCTCCAAGGAATCCGTTAGAGAATGCATCACCCCGTGGGAGGAGGCAGAGGAGTGCTGTTCCTGTACATGTCCAAGATGAATGGGAGCTCTAAGACACAATAGAAGAATGAATTATTGTCAATCTGCATGATTGTATGTAATCTAGATATAGCATATTTAGCCTCATGCATTCATATTTTTCCATTAATCTCAGAAACTATAAGAGTTGTAATAAGACAAAGTTTCCTTTTTTGAGGGGGTAGGGGTGGGGCTTACACAAACTCTTGAAATTTAAACATAGGAGAACGTAAGTTCTTGATATTATTTGCAACAATCTCATCAGTACCTGTACATTTGATTGAAATAGCTTCTTGTGATGTCTAATTGCTAGTGATGTGTGAAATTAAACCAATGTTATAATTATGTTATGATTGAATATATGGTCATTGGTGCTTCAACTGCCTTACGCTCTCTGATAGATTAACAGTACTATAATTTGTGACCTAAATTGTACATTGTATAGAAGACAAATTTGTATATATCAATAATCAAATTCCATTCTGTCATCACTGTATTAGCATATATATTTTGAAGATTTTGTTCAATCAAAATGTTTTGATGCTGTATGTCTTGTAAATATTGGTATACAAAAGTTTGATGACAATCATATGCATCAGTTTCACCTAGGTGTTGAACCACCATGACATTTTATGGAGTGTGTAAGGATTTGTGATGGAATTAATTACAGTATGTCAAATCATGGTATAAATTGCGCTTTGTGAGGACATTGATGAGGCACAGTATGAATATGGAAGGTGAGTTGGAACATTATCAGGGTTCTTACTTCTTAGCTTTCCATATGTCAACTTTTGGTGGCCATTCAATGTAGATTGTGCAAACTTCTAATGAAACATATTATACCCATACTACATGTATGAGGTGAGAAATTTCATGTGCCACTTGGACTTCGAGGTAAGCACTTTCAAGGGAAAGTCCACCCCCAAAATAAGTTTGTTTCGATAGAGGCAGAATAATAAGAAAATCAGGTGAGTGAAAGTTTGAGCAAATTCTGAATGAAAATAAGAAAGTTATGAATTATTGAAGTTGTGATCAATCAAATACAAATTGGCAACTCTGTGACTTATCATCCGAGCTCTCCTTCATTTGCTTTGTGCATAATATTCCATAAAATCATGTTTTCTTCGTTATTGATGACGGAATATATATTTGTTCCTTGCAGGGGGAGTATAGAAACATATTTGCAATTATTATATTTAGGGTGCATGTATGGTTGAAATTTTTCTTGAGGGAAAATGAAAATTTTAGATTTTTTTAGTACTGAGCAAATGGAAGTTGAGCTCGCATGATACGTCATAGAGTTGCCAATTTGTGTTTGATTGATCACAACTTCAAAAATCCTAACTTCCTTATTTTTAATCGGAATTTGCTCAAACTTTCACTGACTTGTTTCTCTCATTTTTCTACTCCTATTAAAACTAACTTAATTTCAGGGTGGACTTCCCCTTTAAATCTGATTTTATTTGGTCAATATCATCCACGCAACCTTTTAATTTGAGCCCTGTCTGACCTGTTTACTTGATTCTAGAAATAAAGACCAGAAGAGTAGGTGATCATAATTGTTGCAATAGACCCAAATTGAACACTTTAGGCCGTCCCATATGAAATTCCCAAAGATAGGACTGGGATTTGAGAGATTATTTTCTGTGTGATTCTATATCTTGTTAGTTTAATGTGAGGTTTTCATGCACTTAGTTTAGATACTTTTCCTTAAATTTGTTACACTTTTTCAATTAAACTTCTCTTTGTAATGAAAATGAGCTGTAACATCTCATCACTTAATGCAGTGTTTGAAGGAGATGACCTGTTTTGACAGAGTATAAATGACAGATCATACTAATTGATTCTACGGCTGAGGTGAATATGTATTTGCACTGACAAACAGTCGATAGAGATGGTGAAAGATGTAGAATTGTTTTATTCTACTGATCCATCCAAATAGAGAATGCCGATTGTAAACCTTTTATTGTTTGGCTTGCCATGCTTATTTCTTGTTACAGTGTGTATTAATATTGTTCATAAGGATTAGCTTATTAAAGAAAGATAAAGGTGTATACAATCTTTCCTGTGTTATTCCATTTAGTTTTTACAAGAATACTATAATTGTCTAACATACATGTATATGACTTATTACTGCAGTATGGTTACTACAGTATGGATGAAAAAAAAGCAAATCTATGAAAATAATGTGGATTAATTAGAGTACACTGTACCCGAAACACACTATTTTTATGATGGCTTTTGTAATTACTGTGCATCAATTCAAAGAAAGTTATATGTACATGTACCATTTATTTTCATACAAGAAAATATGCAAGTTTATGTATGGAAAAAAACTAATGTTATGTATTTCACTTTATGTAGATTCTGTATTTTGATTCACAAAGCTAAAAATATTTCATGTGTTACAAAATCTAAATATAAGAAACGCAATTGAATATGCTATCAGAATATTTTAAGAAACATGATTGAAATAACAAGCAGCTAATACAAACTGTATATCAAATTTTTTTAGGCACAAAAATGAATCCTTGTTTATTTGGCTACTGGTGTATTTTGTACATGTACTTTACAAGAATGTGGTTATATAAAACATATATGATCAAAAGGTGTAAGGAACTTATGATTATTTATCAACACATGTAATAATTTTGAAACAATCTTCAGTACAAATTTTGTTAATGTTCCTTTGGTAGCACATTTATATTTTGTTGCTGTGTATGTCACAATGGACACTGTTAAAGAATCTAAAAATTACATGAATGTCTCTATTTGTTGTTCTTTCTTCATTTAGATATAGATGTGTACACAAGGGAAAGAACATTTTAAAACAAATTATAGAAGAAAAGAATAGTGCAGGGATGGATATGTTTAGGAAGTCAAAGAGAAGGAAGAAAGGGGGGAAGAGAGAGAATTGTGTTGTAACCCAGTGATGGAAAGAGAGATGTAATTGGGGAAATGATAGGAAGAGAGAGAGAGAGAGAGAGAGAGAGAGAGAAGGGGGAGGGAAGTAGAAGGATAGGGAGGAAGAAAGAAAGACAGAGATAATAAGTTGTGAAATGTGTAGAAAATTAAAAGTACAGGGTATGTGTGATGGAAAGCCAAATACACAGCCAAGGAAAAGAGAGAGAGAGAGAACAAAGCAAAGTGAGTAACAAGATAAAAAGAGATCATATACAAATATGGAGAGAGATAAATTAAAAGGGGAAGAAAAGTTGCAGTGATACAGTCAGAAACACTGACTGAATACATAGATGGAGAAGTCGGTTAAATTTTGTAGGAAAAGTATCTACCGGTAATAAAAATGACAATTTGGTGATGATAAACGGCCAAAACAAGAAGTCAATAACATATCTTCAAAGGTCAAACGCAACTTGACCATCAAGTACCAATCAGAGGACCTGCGTTGGATTTGGGGGTTTCATCTAACTATATCTTTATGCCAGAGACTCCAAACAAGAAAGGGGACACTTAAAGAGTGATATGAAGAGATACCAAACAAGTTAAAAAGAAGTAAGAAAATACACAATATCATTATACAATATGCATCACTACAGCTACCGAACCCTAAGCACCATTCAATGTAGACAGAAGCAATAGAGAATATATGTTCACAAAGCACAAGGCAGTTTATTGAGTAGCCAATAAGAATGAACAATCACAATTACTATGCCTTCACTGCTTAAAAGATATCACAATATTTAATTTACAGTATACATGAATAATCAAATACACATTTGTATACTATTACATGTACGGTATGTTAATAATATAAACTGGATACTGCAAAACAACAGGGTCTTTCTCGCTTGCATTACATGTACCTTTGAAATACAATATAACATAAACATGCTCTAAACTTGCCAAAATGAGAGTTAGAACAATAACATTGTATTGCATTGTTTTATATACACCTTTTACAGTATACAATGCATGAAATGTTTGGACTTACATGTTGTCGCTCCGCACAAAATATGATTGAATGTTGGTCAAATTACATGTAATAATAATAATAGCTGTTTGTAATGACATAATTACTTCTTTGCACATGATTCAGTAACACTCCTGCTGATTATTCTACATTATATAGTATGTTGAGAGGCAGAAAGGCGTTTTAACTTGTATGCTTTTAAACACAGAGTTAGTGCCCTTCTAGCTCCCAACAGATGATATCAAAGCTCAAAACGTTAAAGCCCTTGCAATTTGAGTCTAAATAGTTAACTGGTTTATAATATATATTCCGCGTTTATATAGGGCTTACTACATCAACGATGTCTCTAAGCGCTTTGCAGATATATTATAGACAACCATTGTCAACTTCTTCATCCATGCATCCATGAAAAATTATGATTCATATTCTAAATAGCTTCTAAATTGACAACATTTGTGTCATGAAAATAATTCCTTATGATTAGTTCACAACTAAATTCATTACATTTCAGGATTGCTGACTTTGCAGTAATACATATATGTATAGAATAGATAGGGTGATACTTGAAACACAATGACTGAGTAGATAAAATGGGGCCAAATTTAACTTTAACTTCTTTCAAGAATATAGATCTATATACATTTCTCAAGGAATTCATATACTGAGAAGTTCATTACACATCATGTACCTTAACCAAATTATAGCCATCTTGACTGAAAATCAGATTCTTACTGCTTTACTGATGGAAAAACCATGCATTTTCATTTATTTAATTCCTGATATGATCAATGTACTTTATTAACCTGTTTCCTGTCACAAACTAATGTTCATGTATACAGAAGCATTGAATTAGCATCATCGATCATGAGCAGTTGACAATTTTGACATCATTTTCAGGTTTACAGAAGAATTGAATTGACATCATCGAACATATGCAGATGACTTAATTTTCAGGTTTACTAGTATTCTTGGAAATAAAAGGTTCTACCTTACAATATACCGGTACTCATTTTTATCAATGTTAGAAAACAGAGTTTTGCTGATAGAAACCGACAATGGAACCCCATCTTAAAAAATATAGGGAGAAAGCGGTGTCTGAAAATTGCAATGTTACAAAACACATTGTAACCTCATTAATGTATTTGGAGTTGTTAACATGTAACTGATTTCACATAAGAGAGGTTACTTTGCTGCCATCAACAACAAATATGGCTGGTATAGTTGGTCCATTGCTGAACAGGACATAAACACAATGGATCACATAGAATATATGTACACATGGATTTATACCAATATTTAGTAATACACTTACTATACAAGTTTCATATCAGATATAAATTTATACATATTAAGGATAATACAAACTACTTTCAAAATGTCTCCCTACACCACCAACCATGTGAGCTAAATTTAAAAAAAATCAAAGTTAAGTCTAAAGTTGTGTTTTAAGCATTCTCAACTACCAACAAAGCGATTGATAACAATAGCAATGTGACAAGTCCAGGGAAAAAAAATAACATTGACTTGGACAGACGTCACAATTTATTATGGAAACCACTTTGGAAAATTGAAAGTCCTTGGTAAAATTTCAATTGTGAAAGAATTAAGAGAGCTCACTGTTATTCTCAAATTTCATTATGCACTATTCAACATTACATGGTTGATCAGGAATAGCTTACCTGGTTAGTGGGAGTGGTAAAGGAGACATTTTGAAGCATTTCACAATGGAAAACTAAAATCTAATATTCTGGAAAAATTGTGTTTACTACTCTAACTGCCCAAGTGCCATTAATTGTTTAAGGACCTTAGTCTGACTCGTTTCTCTGATCTCTCCAGCTAAGAACATCTCATCCACAACTGAGTATACCTTGTAGAAATTGAAGACTAAATCCAGCTCACAAACATTGTGGAAATACTCATTCAAGACCTGAAAATTGGGAGACAGAAGAAGTGGCAAAGATTGCATGAGAATATCTGAACTGACAAACATATGAGATGTTGGAGCTAGTTCTATTAAAGATTTAGACTTTAAGCAAATCCAGTATGAAAAATGTAGAAAGAAGAATTAAAGACACAAAACCAAGTAAAATAGTATAAAACAACATGAATTACACAAAATGTGATAAACTAATATAAAAAAAATAGGGGCTTATTATTCTTTCATGGTTTCTCTTATATCTGGTAAAAAACAATCAGCCAGCTAATAATGTTATGTTCAAAATGCAAAGAGGAACATCCCTACATAACAGAAAGATCTTTTTATAGGTTACTTAAAGTCTTAAACTATAATAATATTTGCATGGGTAAGGCACTTTGTTTGAATATTTTTAAAAAGGTACTGCTTCCCAAAATGTATTTATACGCTTGTCTAGCTTTGTACAACAAATAAAGGCAGCCCATAACTGCCTGTCCAACCACAAGTACAATTATTTGCAAGTAAAAAAATACTTACCTCCACAAAGTTATGTATTGCTTCTAAGTATGCCAAATTGTTATCTCCTACATCTACACAGATACAGAAGTAAAGACCAGCATATCTTCTGTACACAATCTTGAAGTTGCGGTACTGTGGAAGAAGAGAATAGTTAATTCTATTGTAATGACTGTAATTTTTGTTAGCCAAATTGCCTTAGTATCAGATAATAAGGACCTACACTACAGTAGCAAGTTGCCTGTAATCAATGGAATGAACGTATTCATTGCATAATAGTAGAAGGGTATCATAATCATAACATTACGTATCATAACATATTGTTTATATTCAAATAAATATCTAACTAAAAGTTGTCTGTTATGCCATTATTGATGGTAGTGTAGTTACCAACATGTTATGCACTCAAGACTGTCCAATGACCTGAAAAATAGCATTGCCAATGTATATATCTGATTGTTCACATACTAGGACTGCATCATGCAGATTATACTTCATCAAAGAAAAGTACTCTTGATGGGCAAAAAAAAACCCACCTACATGTACATTTCAGATTAAAACACAATTTTATTTAAAAAAAAAACAACTGATAGCTATGCCTTGGTAAAGCGTTAGTACAATTATGTTATCACTTACACTGGACATCTCTATATCAATTTTCTTAATGAATGCTAAAATTAAAATAACTACATTGGTATTAGAAAAATAAATTACAGTGCTAATTTTCATTTTATGAATGTACTATACACAGTTAACACATACTTGTTTGAATGTTGTTTGAGTAATGCATGTTACTTAAGATGTCCATGTACACATTAATGTATTTCTAACTACCCTTTCACAAATTCACAATAGAATTAATAGTTTCCTCAGGATCTATGTAAGTTACTATAAAATATTAAGGTACATGTATAACCAGAATTTGACTCACTTCTACAAAGTTTGTGTGTTTAGCATCTCGAACTGTAACCAAAGCATGTACTTCTTCAATCAACTTCTGTTTCTCTTCATCATCAAATGCCATGTACCACTTAGCAAGCCTAGTCTTGCCAGCACGATTCTGAATTAAGATAAATCGAATCTGAAATAGGAAATAAAAAAAGGAATGTATTAGATGACAATAGTAACAAACAATACAAGTGATTTTTTAGTCATGTTAGAAGTTTAGAACACAAATTATCACAGAATTTTATGATATTTCCTGCAACTTAATTTGGAGGTCATGATGAATACTAGGCACCATTGTGCACTTTGCAGTAGTGCTTTAGAGTAAAGATCGTTTCAAATGTATATAATATTGCCTTTCTTCCATCAGAAAATATTCAAATCATAAAAGTCATCAACTTCCCGCAAGTTCAAACCTTTATTGAAGAGTAAATAGAATGAGTGATGCTTATTTTGTGTGGTATGTGTGATATTTTTGGCATTGTCTTGATGTACAAAACCAGTTTACTTTTTCCCCCAGGCACTTTACAAACAAAAACATGTTTTAATTTTAGCACTGTGGCCGTCTCTCGATTGACAGGATTGCGCAGTACATCAAATTCAGATAAAAGTTGCAGTGCGATGCATAATTAAGACTTTAGTTTTAAACAGACCTTAGATTTAGAAAGATTAAAACAAAAAAACGTGAAAGTAAATAAAAAGGTTGTCTTCATTTCTTCAGGATCACTTCTCATACCTTAGAAGTAGGCCCTAGGCATAAATTTCTTCTCATTCTCAATTTTTATTTCGATATGATATATTATACAGTCAGTACATTCAACATCCCGCAACTCTCTGTCCATACATTTACATGTCCAAGATTATGGGACTCATTTCTTCTCTTTCTCTTCTCTACAGAATCTTTTGTATAAAACTACCTTGTCATTTTTTTGTAAAATGAAGGGGAAAAAATGTTTTGTTGTTGTATTAATGCACAATAAATACTAGACTCTAGATCTAAATAGAGGTCTAGTGAAGGCAAACAGAGGGTACCACGGCGGCAGTGACATCGAGAAGATTCTGTGTGTCATGGAGGAGAACATCAAAACTCTCAAAAGATAGAATATGTTCAAAAACTCCTCCAAGCAGGCGGATTTTTCTGTCTGGATGAAAATATTCAAGTGAACATGAGTGTACCTGTATGACAGCACAATAATAAACGTATGGGACCACTTACTAAATATGAAAATAGAATCTACGATTATTTTATCTTTGAATTAATATTCAATGTACAAATACATCGGATCACAAAATAGTATCATATCAAATTAAAAAAAATATGTTTTCAATACGACTTATCATCACAAAAGACGACAATTACCATTTTTGTTTAGCACTGTCGATCAGAGGGCGTCTTCGAAATTTAGTCCGGAAATGAATGAGCAACATACAATTATTCAGCTGGGGGTCAAAAATAAATACTACTAAGTATAAATCAGTATAGATCCTTTAAGGTACGCATAATATCAATACAATACCCATATGGAGACTTTTGAATATAAATTGTAATGACTCATAGACTATGTTTTCTTTTGTGATTATTTTTCAGGTAGATGTTCTAAAAACCGCATCATATTGAGATGGAACTGATTAACCTCTATGATAAAATGGACTCTTCCAATTAACTTAAGTGCGATCGATATGCACTAGTTTTCGCGCATTCGCCCTCAATTTGCACTGTACTATGTAAGAGTGCAGCCATAACGGGCTGCTACTGGCATAGTTAACGCATTGCAGACGCTGCGGCACAGCCTCGAGGATGTTCAGTTAGTAGTTATCATGTATGCATGTGGCGGAGTGTCGTGCTGATATACAGTGCAAGTGCAGTGCTAATGCATACCGGGTAGTACAGTGGCCAGTTGAATCAGCGGTGGAGCCATGGCGCATGTTGAAGATATGAAAACACGTGTGCGACTGCTTGAACATGGAGTTGACAATGTAAGGATATGAATTTATGAGATATTGAATTAGACTATGGTAGACTATAGACTATAAGTACAAGTCATACTTGACTTAGTTAATGTGTACGTTGAAATAATGAATGATTGCATTGTCTGAGGCATAGAATCTAGGGATTTAGAATTTAGACGGGTGGTTATCTCATCAAATAAGCCCTCAATAAACGTGATTAATGTAAGATAAAAAACTAAGAAAAAGAGAACCCCAAAACAGGTCCATGGAATCGATGGATGATGAAAGAGAAGACCAACGCCTTGTTTCTTGCCAACAGTCACTGCTTAGGCATGGCTTGCTATTTTATATAGACAGTAGGTCTAGGGGCGCTGGTCCGAGAATAAGGATCGTCTTCATAAACGAGGATCGTCTTCGTAAACACAGACCGATGCGTCCTCAAAAATAAGGACCGTCTGCATTTTTGCAGACGTTTCATATTTTTGATCGGTGCATTGGCGATGCAAAAAACGGATTCTGCAATGATTTTCTTGATGCATTTTACATTGACATTGTACAGAGACTTTCACGTCATTAGATCTAGATCTATAAGCAATAAATCCTTGGGAAGACGGACAACCCATAAAAGTAGACGGTGAACTAGGGTTATTTTCCCCCGGGGAATCCATTTTTGGCATCGCCAGCAGGCCGTTCTGTAACATGAAACCCCCAGAGCGCCAATGAAAAAAAACGTCCTAAAAAATGCAGACAACCCTTATTTTTGAGGACGCATTTTGTCCTCGTTTATGAGGATATCCTTGTTTATGAGGACGATCCTCATTCTTGGACCAGCGCCCCTACTGATAGAGGGCGCAGTAACTAGGGTCTATATTATTAACTGTAACTCCGGGAAGCTCCAACACCGGCGCCACAGGTGTCGGAGCTTCGGGTGGTTTCGTTGGTTTCTCTTTGGGGCTAGTAAAACAGCCGATTGGGTGATATTATCGTTAAATCTGCAAAGGGAGTACTTACAATTTTTACATCATAGGGTGCACGACTCCTCAGGGTTCAACTCCAATCACTTGAATGTATAATTTGAAGAAGTCTTCGATGGAAAAAAAAGGTTAATTTGGGGTACTACAACAACGATTCTTCCATGTCGCAGCGTTGATTCAAAATAGCGATGAGAAGGTACGCATGCGCAGCAGTGACGAAGAAAATATGAATATTCATGCCGATCGCTTGAAATCGCTGAATATGCACGACTCGAACAAACGGAGCCCTTCTCAACGACTCGAACAAACAGAGCCCTTCTCACTTGTGCATATTCAGCGATTTCGAGCGATCGGCGCTCGATAGCATGAATATTCATATTTTCTTCGCCACTGCCGCGCATGCGTACCTTCTCATCGCTATTTTGAATCAATGCTGCGACATGGAAGAATCATTGGTGTAGTACCCCAAATTAACCTTTTTTTCCCATTGAAGACTTCTTCAAATTATACATTCAAGTGATTGGAGTTGAGCCCTGAGGAGTCGTGCACCCTATGATGTAAAAATTGTAAGTACTCCCTTTGCAGATTTAACGATAATATCACCCAATCGGCTGTTTTACTAGCCCCCACGAGAAACCAACAAAACCACCCGAAGCTCCGATGCCTGCGGCGCCGGTGTTGGAGCTTCCCGGAGTTATATTAACTGTAACTTTGTAAGCAGTGCAGTGGGGCTATAAAAACTCTTATTTTCACAGAAAAACGGTTGGGGAAAATTCAAAATTGGTTGGAAGAATTGATTTCCACTCCAATTGACTTTCACTCCCTCTCCCTGTCGGATCCGTAGTTCATCCTCGAATGGATTGAAGATCAACGGCTTCTTGCAGATATGATGATCTGCGAAGAGTGAGGGACGGAGTGTAATTAGTGGACATCGAGGAAGAAGAAGCATCATGACGATGTCGTCGGAAGGAGCACCATGAGAAGGAGTATAGCATCACGTGATACTCCTACTCAGAGTCCTACTTTGATCGCAGCCACTTCGTCGTACATCAAGATCTCACAATTTGTAAATCATTTCCTCCTGGGCAGTTTGCTCTGTCCAGGCAGAAATGGACTACAACTACAAGAAGACTTCTGTAGATTGGGTAAATTACACATCTCTTCAAGAAGTTTGTTGACACCCAATAAGCAAAAGGCAAAACAAAGTAGAAAACCCAGTCCAACTAAAGGGCAAGTCGAAGTCGACGAGTCCTCCTTTAGGCGACGCTGCAAATAACATCGTGGGGACGAGTCGAAGGGTGAAAAAGTGTGGATCGTCAGGCTTGTGGAACGAGCTATGAACAAGCTCGTCCTATATCTCGTCAATGACAGGACGGAGAAGACACTCTGATCGATCATTAAGCGCCACATCGTCCAACAATCTATTCAGACAGATGGAGTGGGTACAGTCCAAAGAATAACAGGTACCGCCACTTATACGTAGTCTACAAGTACCAGTTTAAGGCGGTGTTCACTGTACCACATATTCATACCACCTCTACATTTGTTTCTTATTTCTCAAACAAAGGTTCACAGTTCAAGTTTTCCTGGAAACTATGTTGGAAGTGATGATTCTTGGAGCATGGACAAATTTACTAAGGTAAGTTTGATCTAACTTAAACCAAGGAGATGCACACTTTAATGGCACATTGTTATGAATGAATATTAATGATCTTGCTCTACTTTAGGATTAATATAGTGAAACCTGTATGAAGACCACTAGAGGGAGACAGCAAAAGTGGTCTGTGCAAGTTTGTATGATGCACATTCCAATCAGAAACACAGTTCAAGGGAAACAAACAAATTGTGGTCTCTCTAGACATGTGGTCGCTACTCACTACAACAGGTTTGACTATTAATTTCAATATTAAAATGCAACATGATTTTACTTCTTTAGCAGGATATACTACACTGACAGTGCCTGAAATCAATTACATTTCTGACTAACTTGGGGTAACAGTGAGAAGTACCTAGTGAGAAGGAAAAAAACTTAAATCTAATAATAGTTTCTCTCCCTCCCTCTCTGTTGTGCGATGACCCAGCCAGTATGTCCATTATATAGCACTTGCTTTCATATTAAACTGGTAATTTTATTTGTTTTTGATATTTGTATTCGCTTGCAGAACTTTCGAATCGATGTGATTAGTCTGACTCATTCGGAGCTTGAATTTGACATGGTAGGAGTGGATCCAGCAGTAGCTAATGCATTCAGGAGGATTTTGCTTGCAGAGGTATGACAAATCACCTTATTAATTGTAATTTGATACTTTGATCACTTAATTATGATAGATAAGATTGCTTTGGAATGATATATTCCAGAAAGAAAGATGTAACTTGGAGTGATTTATGAATACAATATATGAAAAAAAAAAGTAAAGAAAAGAACAAGGAAAGGATTAGATAAAAAGTAAGAAAAATAAAGAAAGAAATAATATAAATGATGATCGTGTACTGTTATGTATAATGTAGTCTGCATCGATCTTGAGTGCTCAAAATATTATATATATATATATATATATATATATATACATATTTGATTTGTCTCCACAAATGATCACTTTCCAGTGAGAAAAAGAAGTGCTTACTAACTTAAACATCAAAACCTCTCTATGAGGGAATTTTATGTCATTCACATCTCTGTAACAGTTTTAACTTTACTACCCCAAATGTTCATATTGTCTTTATTTTAGGTACCAACAATGGCAATTGAGAAGGTCTCCATCTTTAATAATACATCCATCATACAAGATGAAATTCTAGCTCACAGATTAGGACTTATTCCTATCAAAGCTGATCCGAGAATCTTTGAGTACAGAGAGGAAGGTAAGTTTATTGCCAGATGCAGCGTAAAGTTAAAAGTGCATTGATTTAAACAAAGAAAACTAGTCACAACTTGTTAACATGCTCACACTTAAAAAAAAAAGGAATTCAAATATATTTTGTTATTACAGGTCAAAGTACTCAAGATTTTTGAAGGTGTTTTGATTTCATATAAATACAATTTAGTGAATACACATTCACACTTTACTGCAGGTAGTCCAAATAGAGCATCTATGAAGAAGTAATTTTACACTGGTTCAAAGGTTTTGAAAAATCTGATAGTTGGGACCAGGGTACTAACCAATGTTCTGCTAGCCCAAATTTGACTTACCTCTGTCAATCAGGGTGGTCCTAATACTGCATATGGAATATTCTTTTTAGTCAATACAGGTGATGAAACGGGAACTGGAGAAGACACGATTGAATTCCAACTGAAAGTGAAATGTACCAAGAACCCAAATGCTTCTAAAGATGCCACCGACCCTGATGAACTCTATAAGAATGCCAAAGGTGAGCTAATCTCATCCTCAGATCAGGATTAGGATCAGATTTATTGTGCAGATTTACAGTAATAAGGATGTTAACAATAATGATTGACAATCTTGATGATGACAACAATCTGCAAATGATGATATTGTATACCTAGATGCCAAGCTTTCATGTTATATGATATTGTATCGATTTGGAAATATTGGGGTAATACGG